ATAAAACTTGATTAAATGAATTTTACAAAATAAAACAACTACCTATATGTTAGGACCCGAGAAACATAATGAATGGTAACTTGGGGTCCATTTATGGACCAATACTAAACGTATATTTCTATTGTATAATTATTCAGTAACTAAACTATGCATATTCATATTCCTCTTATTATAAGCTTTATTTTGACTTATAAACTATTATTATACGTTTTACCATTCTTGAGTTATACCCAGTATATTAATTACTACCTCCCTTATTCACAGCCACATCTGGCTAATTCTTGTACAAATGTTGTTTCATATTTTATTGGTACGTTGTGGTCTGCTTGATTGGTATATAAACAGAGTATGTTTGAAATACATGATTCATATCGCAGAGGCTGAGATTTGTGCTCTGGACTTAAGTGGCTGGGCTAGGCGGAAAGCAGGCCAATCAGAACTCTAGGCTGCTCATACGGGTTTAAGCGTCTTTGATCCAATCGATAAGTCACTGCTCTCTAATAGGCGGTCACAAATTATAACACTATAAACTTTTTATTAAATTGAATAAATACGTAGTGTATAATGAAAAATGCCTTCAAGTTGAATAAAATATCATAAAAGAAACTGAATAAAAAATAACTGTATGTTCAGATATTGGCACAAGGAGGCACTAAATACATATGCGCCACACAAATCTCATTCGACATGTGTGAGGGCTGTGATACTGCACGGGTGCCCAAACCGAAGCAGGTGGTTTTCTTCGGGGACCACTCCCCGAGCCTACGACCTGAAGGTCTGATCCACAGGGCGATGGAGGATCGTAAGGAGGTGTAGTCCCATGATAGCCGGTGAACAACGATTGTCTCATACACCATTTGTTCCCGCAGGATACTGGAGCCCATGTGTACCGTTGGTTTGGGATCCGGTTAAAGCGCCGGACATTCGCTTTTTGTCCTCTCATTTTTGTAAACAACACCCCTGCCACGAGAAGGCAGTGAGTAGGACTTCCTTAGCAGAGGCTATATACGTGTGGCCATGTGAGAGCATTTCGAGAGGGAGAGCGGACTCTCCTCACTCTCGGTCGTACCAGGGCATTTGGGGGCAACTGTATGTTCACTATTGACTGAGTTGAAGATACACTTTAATTATTGATATTGAAAATAAATAATCTGTGAAAACGTTAAAGATAGATTACTAAGTGAATAATGAAATCAGATGAGAATAGTGTCAACTGATAATTCAATAATGTTAATTGTTGGTTTATTATATAGGTACTAAATGGTATGTTGCTCTTTAATAAAACTAAAGACATTGGGTTTGATTTCATGTTACATTTCAAGTGTGTAATGCTATACACAGGCGAAATAACTTAATTATTTCAAGTTATTTTTTGCGTAGTTAATTAGAAGACAACACTCTATGGTTAATAATCCTATTCAAATCCACATCCTGCCTGTGTTGAATACAGAACTGACTTTTTCAAAAAGTGTACATCAGTCAATAAATATGATCACAGCGAAAGAAGTAACACGTGCTTTTTTTAAAAAAGGTGACTGCTACCATAGGAGAGGATAGTGTGCTAGTGCGCTTTGATAATGAACAATATCGAAACAAATATACAAATTCATAGTAAATTAGAAATAAAAATCTAACAGTCTTACTTTTTTCTTTGTAAAAAGTCTCTCTCTCTCTCTCTCTCTCTATATATATATATATATATATATATATATATATATATATATATATATATACTAATATTAATATAAACGATTACATTTGACTGCACACTTGGAAATATATTTTTGCGCAAATCATTAAGATTTTATTCCATATAGAAAAAAAGTATGCTCAGTAATAGTTGACAATTGTGAAACTTACTTTTTGCAAGACTTATCAATGTTTACATCCATTATTTTACCGGTAAATAAAGAAATACTATCTTACATAAAGAAATTGCAGTTATAAACTAAAGATAATAAAAACAATTTAGAAAGTTAATGGTGCTCTAGTCACAAAAGAAAGCAAATGCAAACATTAAACAGACCAAATCGAAACAATTTAAATACTTAAGAAAATATGCGATTTCGTTGGATCTTAAATCATAGTTTCAACATAAAGTTCAGAAAGAAAAATAATGATAGAATGAGTGAAAAATAATCTAGGAATATGTAGATAATTTTATTCTACGCCTTTTAGTATTACAATAATGTGCTACATTTTAAAGTAGATCACATAGACATGGACTGGAAATTACAATAGGGTTTTCTTCATTTCAGGTGGTTGGAGGTAACTATCATGAAGAGATGGATTAAGAATTGTTTTTGGAGTGTTTTTATCTTAGTTGGATAGTTTAATCAAGAGGCTTTCTTTGTCCTTCTGGGAAACATGAACACAGATTGCTTGGTAAAGTGAGTTATTCGAACTTCTCTACATATAAATATAAGTTAGTCCTGTAGACATCAATCTTGGTTAGATGTTGTTGAACTTTATTTTCATTGATTTCACATTTGTCGAATAGTTTGATTGACAGATTTTCATGACAATAACTGGATAATTGTTCATTTAAAAAAGTCATCAGGTATTTCTCTTTATTTCTTCGGAAGTTAACTGCGCTGTGGTTTAGATTTTTAAACAAAGCATACACGCAGTGGACATTATGGGTTCTCGCATTGTTGCTATTGTAGTTGAAACTTTGATCTGTGTGGATTAGAGTCAATTGCAACTGTTTTCCTGGGCTGAAATCGGTATTCAAACATGAAAAAACAGTAGTTTATTGTTGTACAATTTTTTCAATGCGAATGTTTGTTGCGAATACGTTGACGATAAAATGTGGACACCAACGTTTTTGATGACAAATGTGTTGACCACAAGAAGAATCCACATATCTGGCCTAAACATTAGTAAAATCAGGGTTTCTAGTCTCTATTTATGCTTCATGATTAGCATTCCCTTCGTCCGTTTGTAATTATATTTTGAGGTTAACAATATGTTGTGAAGTGGCCTGTTCAGGTTTTAGGCCACTTATTTTCCAACTGTGCAGTTTTGGTAAATCACCCGGCTTTAGATTCGCTTGAACTAAATTGTTATAAATTCGGTGTGTACTCAATCCGTATCACAAAAAGCTTACAACCCGGTGGCCCCCAAACGCCCTGGTACGGCCGAGAGTAGTGCGAGTTCGCTCACCTTCTCGAAATGCTTACACATGGCCACACGTATACACCCTCTACCAGGGAAGTCCTACTCACTGACTTCTCGTGGAGAGGATGTTGTTTACGAAATTGAGAGGACGAAAAGCAAATGTCTGGCGCTTTAACCGGGTTGGTGGACATGGAGAGTCCACCCAGGCAAGTTAGGAAACCCTGATTCCAAATTAATGGTGCATATGAGCTCCAGTATCCTGACGGAACAAATGGAATATGAACCAATCGTTGGTCACCTGCTACCATAAGACTGCATCTCTTCACAATGTTTCACTGCCTTGTGGGTCAGACCTTTAGGTCAAATGCTCCCTAAGAAAACCATCTGCTTCGGTCTGGGCACCTGTGCAGTATCACGGCCCACACACAAATAAAGTGAAAATGATGATATTTATTAAAAATTCTATTGACGCTTCGATTAACAGTCAAACCATTCACATTATTATTATTTACTACGTCATTTATTCACTCTCTTTTATTCCCACTTTATGTATCCTTATTTTTCAACTTATACAGTAGCTGTTGAAGCGAAAGTTATTCCAATACACAACTGGTCCTGAGAACTCCTTATTGTAACAAAATTTATAGTAATGAATAAAGTCATTATTATAACTCCATGGCTTTTAGTGGACTTTGACTTCGGATGTGTGCTTTGAGAGATTCATGTCATTGGGCAGGAGCAGGGACAAAGTGTTCATCGCCAACTTCGGATTATTCGAGGTGAATAGAAGGATGTCATCAGTGTGTAAATGTTGATTTCAATGTCCCCAATATTATCCAAAAATTGTATGATAGAGTATTTGGATAAATCCATCGAATGTTTTGGTGTTCTTGAAACTTTTCTTGACAAATTGTAAACCGGGATTTCAGAGAGTAATAAAATTGGGTGTAGTTATATGTTTGACTTGCGTATTCTAAGCATACAGTACAACTATATGAAAACTGCTTCAGTGTGTTCATTGGTTTTATTTAGATATTTGTCCTGCCTTGAATGAACCTGTTTAAAGGTTCAGAGATCTCGCTATTCAGACTTTTGATTTCTGTCCATTGGTTTATGAACATTTTTATCTCTACATAGCTCCACAGCATTCCTGATACATTAATCTTTATCTACAATTAACGTAAATCGTTGTTTGCAAACTGGGACTACGACAATATATTTCGTGCTTCTGACTTTTATCACGGTGATTTATTCCTGTATGGTTATTTAGGTGTATTCTTCCTTTTGTCGAGTACGAAGCACTTTTATGTGGGTTATCTTCTGTTGAATATCATTAATTCCGAATGAATTGAGGGATGACAGAAAAGAATTTTGCATTGTGGTTTAATCCTTTTAGGTGTTCTCCTGCATCCGTCAGGTCATTTTGTCGTGTGTTTCCTTCTGTTGGTGATTTTGCAATCTCCACACATTTTTCCTTGGGCATATCTGTTTTTTGCTCTCTTTATTGGCTCCTCGATATCTCGTTCACCGATGTCAAGATTTTTAAGTGCCCTGATGTATATATATATATATAATCTCCGTAACTTTCGTTTTTCAGTCATTGATGTTTATTATGCTACTTTCCAGCAAGAATGCGCTTCAAAGCAACTGGTAAAAAAACCACGATATGAAAATTAATTTATATTATTCTGCCCTGATTTTATAACCAGGCTTTACTCAAATTCATAAACAGTGCTCATATGACACTATATGTTGGGAGTTCTTACTTGACTATTATGAGCGTTCAGATGTTGATTTTCGGTGTAAAGATGTTATGTTTAACCAGTGGAACTGACTTCACTTTTTGCAAAGAATTAGAGAGTATCATAAAGTGACTCGATATATATATGTCATATATTTATCGAACAACTATAAGAATTTATAGTTAAGTAAACGATTTTATGGAGAACATTGTCCTCTATTATCATTCTCTTATCCTTCGCTAACTATTTGATCATTACGCAACTTCCTTTTGATATTTGAAATCTTAGATCATTCTATGGTACAATTACGCAGTAGTTTACATTTAAAATTGTCTTGTTTATTCACTTATACAAAAAATGTCAACTTCGAAGAAAAAATATACTCAAAATATCAGATGAATACCAACTTGTGAAGGTTGTAGTTTTTTGACAAATGCTTCAATGTCACTAACTTGAAATAGTTTGTCAACACATCCTGTTGGAGTTTTACACACTTGTCGCTTTAAAAATTCAATAACAATAGTTAACGCTTACTTACAGTAGTAAAACGAAAATTGAGTAACATAATAACATGTACACATTTAAAAATACAAGCAAAGAGAAAGGCTTTAAAAAATATTATTGCCTAATATATATATTATATTTCGGAGAATCAAAGGAAATTATCAATCAGCTGATAGACAATGAAGAGCATAATATTGACATTCACAACTGGAACAGAGTTATGTTGTTACCAAGGAGAAATCCAACTGTTATCACCACTTTAAAAAATAACCATATATATATGAAATATGTGTGATTACTTTATTCTTTTATATACATAAACATATTAAATGGTGATATACACACATAACAATACATGTCCATATTCATCAAACATACACTAATGTGTTATAACACAAATAAACATGATACCAAAAATAATTTTAGTTAGATAATAGCGTTAGGAAACCTAAATATTAATGGTTGTAATAAATGTATGAAGACATGTTTAAAATGAATACGACGAAGAATTCAAGTGAACTGGAAAACTAACCTAGCCAACCAAATATATTTATAATACCTGTTTGTTAGCGTTAGCGAATCCACTTTCACGGATATTTCATTAAGAGAACTTAAATCGAATTACATAATCGACTGTTAATGTTGTTTAAAAACTATACATATAAATATATATATCGTTATTTTTACACTCTGAATGAACAGCATTTTAAGTCTTCGAGAGATTATCTCTTTTTATACACATTACACAATTAAAATGGAAAAAAAACAATTGTCCTTCTGAGGCCCAATAAAAAGAAAATAGGAGTTAGAAAATTTACTGATAAAAACTTTGTAGTAATTTTGATCATGTGCTTGTTAATGTGTCTGTAATGTCTGAATGGAAAAGTGAAATAGATTAGAAAAAAATGACTGGAGATTTCTTTTAATTGACATTTATGTGATATCAGGCAGGATTTTATTGGACAAAATAGACAAAAGGGAAGAAAACGAAATGCGTAAATTTGCATGCACACACACACACAAAGGAAATACATGTTTTTTCCCGGATAGTAATAAGCCAATCTAGATAAACAGCATCGAAATCCAATCTGCTTAGGAAGAAAGCAACTGTACAGTATAAGAATAAACCTAGTTAACAACAACAGTAGCAGAAGCATGGAAATCTAAATTGGAAGAGATATGAAGGCTTCAAGTGATATATATTTATACTGTATAACAATTAGTCAATCGGATCTCCAATCCCTATTGTTTTGATTGGCTGTGGGGTTGATTGAGGTCGAATAGTACGACGAGCTGAAGTACGACGTGGCAGAGTCATAGTCGTTTCCTGAAGAGGGAAAAAAATAAATTTTAAGAAACAATTGGATCATCGAAAGACAAGTTTAAATATGCAAATGTTAACCGTATTATCATCACCATTGTTTTGCAAAAACATGCGTAAGCAATGTAACAACAGCGTTTAATTTCATACAGATTAATGATCTGTAGTTATAACAAAAAACAAAAAAATAAGCAGAATAAAAGGGACCTGTAAGTAGTAGTAAGTAAGCTACAACGTAGGAACAGGCACATATGTGCATCGGTTCAGGTTGCCATACCGCATCAGCACAACAAGATGAACACCGGATTCATAGCAGTGGTTAGGTCAAAGGTGGTAATATATAAGAGAAAGATTGCATATAGAGATATAGTACAAGAAGAAAGAATTGGTTCGTGGAAAGAAAGATATGAAGTGATATGAAGTGACCTGACAAACATTCATATCATAAAAGTCAGTATAATACAGTTAACATGGGGAAAGTATCCGATAACAGCCACCAACTTACAAACCATGGTACAAAAACTAAAACTTAACAAAAGATTGGATCTCTTCTATAAAGACTGATAATAAAAAACTGGGTTAATAACTGTACAGCAACAATGGCTTCTTCATCAACCTAGTATGAAAGACACCTAGGACTGAGGCAACTACTTTAGCACATACAAACTATCTCAGGGTTCAAATGTAAACGGGATTAGATTTAGCCAACATGGTAGAATTTCTATACACATCAGCATTAATTTAGTAAGTTCTCATCAACTACAAATTTAACACAAATAAAATGCATAAAGGTAAATGGGATAATCTATCAAAATAATATATAATATATACAAGTGAAGTTAATATGTTCTAAGTACTTGTGAGAATACAAGCTAACTGAAAATAAAACCTTAGCTATACAAATATATCATATGAATGTTAATTTCAGGTACTTGTTATTGTATTTATTACTTGAACACATAGATATTGGTACAAGGAGGCACTAAATACACATGCGCCACACAAATCTCATTTGATTTCTGTGAGAACTGTGATACTGCACGGGTGCCCAAACCGAAGTAGGTGGTTTCCTCAGGGGACCACTCCCCGAGCCTTCGACCTGAAGGTCTGATCCACAGGGCAATGGAGCATTGTAAGGAGGTGTAGTCCCATGGTAGCCGGTGAACAACGATTGGTTCATACGCAATTTGTTCCCGCAGGATACTGGAGCCCATGTGCACCATTGGTTTGGGATCCGGTTAAAGCGCCGGACATTCGCTTTTTGTCCTCTCATTTTTGTAAACAACACCCCTGCCACGAGAAGGCAGTGAGTAGGACTTCCCTGGAAGAGGCTATATACGTGTGGCCATGTGAGAGCATTTCGAGGCGAGCGGATTCTCCCTACCCTCGGCCGTACCAGGGCATTTGGTGCAATTTCAGGTACTACATATATGTAAATAGTATCGTGTCATAAAAACAACACAAAAAGTAGATACCTACAAAGAAAATAATTCCTCAGAAATATTTATCGATTTATTATAAAGTCAAACTATACAACATACTACCAATCGATCGATAAGAACAAGAAATTTTTGAAGTGAACGCACACAGGCTTGTGCACACATAGAAAAAGAAAAGAAAACCTTAAATAAAAGTACAACAGTTCAATTAGCTATATATTCTTAGTTGAAATTAAATGTTAATGAGTAAAAGCTATCTAACCAATTCATCGTCATCAGCATATATATATATATATATATATATATATATATATATATATATATATATATATAATAAATATATATATATATATATATATATATAAATACATGATGTCGCCTGAATTAAATTTGGAATACTCATGAAGAATTTTAATGGCGATTCATGCACTGATTCAAGGCACCATTCCGTATAAATAGTGTTAAGGTACAGTTTAAAGTTAGAAACACTTGTCTTTCAACCCTAAGTTATTTCAGTAAAGGCTTCCCGAAAACAACATTATTCTTTCACATCATCAAGACCGAGCTATGCTAACTAAAAGGAATCGGATGTGTTTGTTTTGACAAGGTTATTCGAAATTCAACCTCAATAAGTAACGGACAATTGATAAACTCATAAATAGTATACCGAATAACTCAGTCCCAATCTTTGTGTAAGTAAAGTTAGAACATTCTCATTAATGTAAATATTTGAATAGGCTCATATTAAGTGAAACTGGAACAATTTTACGGCTAATATCCCCAGAGAAGAGATGATTGTTTATTAGATAAAACGTCGATAGGTTGACAGTCCAAACACCACTGCAATTAATTTGGTTTAAGCAGACGATTCGTATCACTAGGTCTTGTATTGTGGATCAAAAGAGAGTACATGGAGCTAGACTTGATAAATAGGTTACATCACTATCACCTACTTGAACAAAAACGGACAGAATTCATTATGAACGCAATTCATTATGGAGTTTTTGAACCTATTGCATGATGATAAGGATTAGTTTAATGATAATGTACAACACTCTAGAGTCGGTCAGCTGAAGTTTTTCATAGATTAGCTGATCAAGAAAAGAAACCAGCTACTTTGAGTTGTTAAAAGTTAGTTATTAAGAACAAAAAGTATACAAAACACAATCGAAAATTATTCACTGAATAGTAGTAAAAAAAGGGTCAGATCAGTGAAGAGGTTCCCGAAAATAATAAACATTTGTAACCTAACAAATATTGAGTACAAACTTCACGATTACAATAAAAGCAAAACAGTTATGCGATATCAGTGGCGGTGGCTTACTAGTTAAATTGCTCGTTTATCAATCTCCAGGTTACAGATTCGAACATCGCTATGCCAACTTCAGTTTCGACAGGCCGGTAGTATTAACAACCCTCACTAAAAGTGCAGCTCAGACTCAAGTAGACATATGTGCAATCGATAAATAATTTGCATCACCATGCATACATATGCAGTATATTCAATTCAAATACATAATTCATTTATGTTTTAACAAGAAATTAAAATTTTTATATCACATCATGCATTGGGATTTGAAAACTCGAACCTCATTCACACTAATTTTGTGGTAAAATCATGCAGTCATTCATAGATCGTATAAGATGACAGATCATACCTACATCTGTGGGCAGAGTTATTTCCTAGGTGGCTTTGGTGGAAGAGATACTTCTGTAACAGGTGTATTCGGGCACGATCCGATACGAGCACGAGATATAATGGGGGAGTTGAACGCCGAATTTGATATAAACAGAGATGAATGGCGATCTGATTGATTTCGACCAATTAATTTTATATAGTTCTATTTTCCAAAACAAGGATTTCAGAATATTTATTGAACTAATTAAAATTCACATACTCTAGATAGTGAACAGCAATAATAACAAATTGCTTTAACTGTCCAATAAAATGAAAGGATTACTTTACTAACTCAGTGGAAATTAAGGCACAATATAGTTATTTTGTAGAAACCATGCAAATGAAATAGGGATTTTTGTTTACAGCTCGTAAACTGAGTGGTTTAAACATGTGGTACATGAAATTATCTAGTCAATCGCTGGTTGACTTTATCCTCAAGTCAGAATGAAAGATATCTACAAAAGGTCAATTACAAACGCGACCCCTTTACTTTACGATTGGATACATAAAAATGTTAGAAGAATAGGAGTAACCATATCGGTATCAACTGTGAAGATCATAGAATGATTAAAAAATAACGTTAATGCTTCAAACTTTAACATTTTTCCGTTGAAAATATTATTTGTGTATTCATATAGGGTGGAATGGACCAAGTGCAAATGTATCAATGATAACAAACTACTGTGTATGAGGAAAAATAAAATAAGCAAAGCAGTACACTCACTTATCCGTCTGTTTAGTATAAATTATTGTTTTTAAAAGAAAAAAGGTGAATAAACACCTAAAGCATATATATCACAAATAACACTAGAAATAAGGAATCACGTTATGCAAATATACATTCTAACTATGCAACCAACAAATTAGAGAGAGGACACTGTTTTGTTATGCTTATGGCTATTTCATTTTGGGCAATCGAGTAGTAGAATTATTAGCCCTTACAATTAAATTCTGGCTCGAAGCCAATTACACTAACATGTACCTGGTAAATGAGTTAATTATATAAGTTTTGACGTTTTACTTATTAATTTAGTGTGATTGTTTTTACTTCGCTTAATACAAAACCACATTTCATAGCTATCTAAATGATTTTTAAAAAAGTCGAATTTCGACGTTGTATGGGATTATTAGAAACAACAAATCGTTAAGCTTACATATACGTTTAAAATTGAAACAGGTGGAGGTATCTATTTCTATACAACGACTAGTTCAAATATTATTATCAAACAGAAAGTCGCCATAAGAGTAAACATTAGATTTCAGTTAACAACAAGTAAAGAAAAATTTTAAAAGTAGTGCAGACATACTGATTACAAGTACACTAAATATCTAAACCCTCGAGACGAATATAGATATTTGACCTGTTGCTTATGAATGTGTTGTCGATATAGTAAATAAGCAAAGAGTATATATTTAAAATAATAGAATCTTCCAAAAAAATAATTACATCGAATGATGCAGAAGACAATGAGAAAACGAACGATTAAATCTTTCAATTAGAACACAAATGATTTCTAGATAAGGTTGATCCTAGTTATTGAGAAGAAAACTGTGTTGCATATTACGACATCGCCGTTAAAGGATAAGGGTTGTATCGTATGAGCCAACCTAGTTATATCTGACGATTGTACATAATCACAATCGATGTAAAGATATTAAGGAATTCCTAAAATACGTGTTTTTATCAGAATGCAACATGACTATAAAGATGTTTGATAAAAAAAGAAGAATATTCCCTAATGTAAACTGGTAGTTATAACTCAATGATGGATTATATGCTTCATTAAATTCCCGTTGACTAACATTAACATAACTTTTCCATTTAGAAACCATACACAAATACAACTCAATATATGTGTGAGGGAAACTATGGGATAGCACAGATTTTT